AAATAATTTTATCGGCACCTGTGAACAACCATGTTTGCTTTCAGTAGATGTTGGGAAACATGCAGTTACATTAAAAATGAAAAACACATCCTGTGTTTGTGTCTGTAAACTGCACCCACTCACTGCCCAGTAACATGACAACAGTCTGTTTGTTTTGGGCAAATAGCATCTGTTTTAATGCCAATGACTCATTTTTGGTGTATTTATTTGCTGCACTGAAACATTTGCTCAGATTTTGTTTTGTGAAAAAGGAGCTCTGTGTTGTTCTGATACTGCGTGTATGTACGAGTTTGATTAAAGTTCAGGGTTTACAAGGGCCGACGTTACGTTTGATCCGTGATTGTCATAAATGTTGATTAATAAACTCCGGGTGCTGGTTTAAACTCGTCTATTCTTTCTCAATGCTGGTGTTTTCACACTGATTTGGTGCCAGATTGCTAAATTTGAAAAACAAAAGTCATACAAATGAATCCTCCTCCACCTGCACATGCACATGCAGGGGGCAGGTGGAGGCCCAAAAGTCACGTTGGGCTAAAATAAATACTGACAGCTGATATTCAAAGTTCAGCCAATAAACCAGTTAAGGAATCTACAATGAGGCTTTGGGTTTCCACAAAGCAGAGAGAACACTTCAGGTGACTCCAGTGTAAGTTTTACAATAATCTGTGGATTCTTGGTACCCAGCAGAAAACTGCAGCCACTTTATCCGGGACTTTCTAATCTTTTGGCTTCAGTTCAGAGTTCTGACCTCATGCGGCTCTAGAGATAAATGAGCAGGTGCTTGAGAAACACTTGGAAGTCATTCACCTTGGAGAGCAGAGTCCTTAGATTTGATTTAGGATTAGTTGGATCTTTCCAATAGAAATCAAAAATCCCACAGAAAAACATCCACACCACATGATCGTGCAGCCGTGTCTGACTGTAGCTATGTTACGAAAGAGATTATCTTTGGTGTGTGAACTGTGGTTCAGTCATGTTTTTCCTTCTTATAATCGTTGGTCTAACCTTTTAACTCATGCGTATTTTTTTTCATCCCAGTGACCATTGAAATTATAGTTGGGGACGTATTCATTTAGATATGAAGACAGGAGTTCCAAAATAACTGAGTGAAATCTTGTTTCGCAGTGAAAGCTATTAGACCAAGTGGACTTCAGATATATCCTAAGGAGCATAGATATTTTATCACCCCAAACACTTACCTTTGCATTGCTATTGTGGTCTACTTATGAAAATTAATGAAAAAATAATAATAATACCAGGGCCTCACAAAAAGAAGCAGGCTGGGGATGCTGAAGATCTGAAAGAGGAAGAGCGTTTTCCCCAGGTGGACCAAAGAGTGGAGAGAATAAAGCAAACACAAAGGGAAAACTAACATCATCTTATATCTGAGTTAGGATTGTGGAGGGGCAGGAACCATCACTGCTGGTATAAACACACAGTCTCACATCCACACCTACAACCTGTTTAGAATCACCAGTTAAACCAAGAAGAACATCAGTGAGGAGGAGAGAACCGGAGTACTCAGGAGGAAACCTGCCATATAACAGTGCAAACAAATAATTAGCTGTTTGTGCATGCTCTCTTTCAGTATACCTGCCTATATCAGAAATGTTGATCAGTTTGAAACAAAGGCTGGCTCTGTAGCAATCGTCAGATGCAGATAACCCAGTAATGTGGGGAATGCTCTGCATGAGACAAGCAACCTTGTGAAATGTATTTTCCTCGTTCTTTGACCATATAGGCATCAGATAACATACCTCATAAGTCAAAGTTAGACTTGATTTCTGTTCAGTTTGCTTAGGACGAGTAACCAGAGGAGACGTGAGTTTTCCCACTACAGCAGAAAGATCACCGGGGACACTGGAGTGCTGCTAAACCTGCTGCTAGTTCATCGCCATGGAAGCGAATTTAAAAAAACAAACAAATGTGAAGCGCAGGATTTCTTTTTTACAGCCACCTGCGGTTTTGCTTCCATTCCAGGGCAAACTGGCTGCACAATCTGAGTCTGAAAAGGAGCTCACCTGTTCGATCTGCCATGAAATCTTCAGAGATCCGGTCATCCTCTCATGCAGCCACAGCTTCTGCAAAGAGTGTCTGCAGTTGTGGTGGAAGGAGAAGGACACCCAAACCTGCCCACTCTGCATGAAGATGCCCTCATCAACTGACCCACCTGTTAGTTTAGTGCTAAGGAACCTGTGTAAGACTGCTTTAGAGGAGAGAGCTGAGAGAGCAGAGACACCAATAGCAGCATCTGAAGCTCTCTGCAATCTGCACGCTGAGAAACTCAAACTCTTCTGTTTGGACCACGAGGAGCCCGTGTGTCTCGTATGTCGAGACTCAAAAGCACACAACAGCCACAGATTCAGACCCATCGAAGAAGCTGCACAGGATCAAAGAGTGAAGCTCCAGATCTTTCTCAAGTGTTTACAAGATAAACTGAAGCTCTTTGAATACGTGAAAGCAAACAGTGACCTCACTGTAGAACACAACGTAGTGCAGACTCAATACATAGAGAGCCAGATTAGGGAGCAGTTTAAGAAGCTTCATCACTTTCTGTTTGAGGAGGAAGAGGCAAGGATCGCCGCTCTGAAGACAGAAGAGCAGCAGAAGAGTCGGATGATGCAGGAGAAGATTGAGGCTTTGACCAAAAAGATAGCAGCTCTTTCTGAAACCATCAGTGCCACACAGGAGGAACTGAGAGCTGATGACTCTTTGTTTCTCTATAACTACAAGGCTGCAGCAGAAAGAGTCCAGCAGCGCCCCCTGCTGGAGGATCCTGAGGTGGTCTCTGGAGCTCTGATAGATGTGGCCAAACACCTGGGCAACCTGGCCTACAACATCTGGAACAAAATGAAGGAGACAGTTTCCTACACTCCTGTGATTCTGAATCCAAACACAGCTGAAGGACACCTCATCATCTCTTCAGATCTTACTAGTGTGAGACACGGAAGCAAACAGAAGCTTCCTGAAAACCCAGAAAGGTTTGACAGCTATTCGATCATCATGGGCTCTGAGGGCTACGACTCGGGGAGTCACAGCTGGGACGTTGAGGTTAGAAACGATGGAGTCTGGTGTCTCGGTGTGCTACAGGAGTCAATTAAGAGAAAGGGACAATTAAAGACTGGATTCTGGGAATTAAGTCGCCACGATGGGAAATACACAGCAGTTGCTCCACCACTTCCATGCAAAGTCCTCGCAGTGAAGACGCTCCAGAGGATCAGAGTTCGCCTGCACTGCGACAAAGGGAAGCTCTCATTCTTTGATATTGATACCAACACACTCATACACACCTTCAAACTCACTATCACTGAGAAGTTGTTTCCTTACATTGAGACCAAGACTCTTCCGCTGACCATACTACCATCAGCCATCTGTGTAACACTGGAAGAGCAGCCACGTTTAAAGGGATCTAAAGAGTATATGGTCCATATCCAATCCAAAGTTAATATCCAAAGTTAAGTAAAGTTAATATCTACAGGAAAGGGCAGAGCAGGCTGTAGCTGCTGCGGAGACTCAGGTCTTTTGGAGTGGAGGGCCCACTCCTGAAGACCTTCTATGACTCTGTGGTGGCCTCAGCCATCTTTTACGGTGTGGTCTGCTGGGGTGGAAGCATCTCTGTCGGGGACAGGAAGAGACTGAACTGGCTGATGGGAAGGGCCAGCTCTGTTCTAGGATGCCCTCTGGACCCAGTGGAGGTGGTGAGTGACAGGAGGATGGTGGCTAAGCTGTCATCCCTGTTGGACAACATCTCCAACCCCATGCAGGAGACTCTGACAGCACTGAGCAGCTCCTTCAGTGGCTGCGGCACCCACGGTGTGGGACGGAGAGATTTCGCAGGTGTTTCCTCCCCACTGCTGTCAGACTCCACAACAAAGACTTTTGCAGCTGATCAAACCCACACATGTGCAATAACACAAAGTGCAATACTCTTTTTCTGACAAAGTTGTATTTTTACTCAGTTGTAGAAAGCATT